TAGGGTTCTCAGGCATAAATTAGTCGCTCGGTGGAATAATTTTTCTTCGGCAAAAAAGATATCTCTGAAAGAATATGCTTTGTGCACCTGGGTTTTGGCCACGCTGTGACTCAAGAGTGCTGGACTGGATGGGCCTTTGGCCTGATCCAACATGGCTTCTCTTACGTTCTTATGTTTGTAAGATTCCTGGACCCATGTTAGATTTCATGTGATCCTTCAGTCTTCCATAGATATTCACTAATATAATTTTATGGCTTGTGACCTATGGAATCCCCCCCCCATATATATTTAAATTTCTCAATTTTATTCATGCAGCATGATCACTGACAAATCTCAAGAGCAAAAAAAAAAATGTAAAGCAGATGACACTACTCTTTTTCTGTAGCGCTCTCTCTGTGTGCATATGCCTTGTTCCGTAGGCTTGATTCAGAAATATCCCAAGTGTTCCAGGAGAGTGCCTTGCCTTGGTTTCAGACCACAGAGTGCTTTGGAAGTTCCTCTGCTCCTTCAACAACTGTGCTTTTGTTCATGTGTGCATCTGTGGGCGTGCGTGTGCATGCGTGCTAACCCGTGGGGTCGAAAGAAATGCTCTTGTACATATCCAATGTAAATTAAAACGATTAAATCGAATAACAGTTTTTCCCCCCGGAGGCCCCATGTGTGATGAATAAGTATGCTTAATTCTGTTAATGTCTGGTGTGAATCTTTTTTTAATCTCTTAGCATTAAAAATATATCTGCTCCGGTATTTAAAAAAAAAATGTTGGCCTGCTTAGGGAACACTCACAAAAACTGAAGGCAGGAATTTGGAGGACACATCTTGAAAAAATGAAATCGGAGATAACGGCAGTCCCTGCTTGCCAATACCCTGTATCCACTGAAAGTGGTCACCACTAAGTTCTACAAAATAAGAATACATTTATTTATTTACTTACATAATTCTCCTCTCCTCCATTTTATCCTCACCGCTAGATTAGGCTGAGAGAGTGTGACTGGCCCCAAGGTCATCCCGTAAGCGTCCATGGCAGATTAGGGATTTTTTTGTTGTTGTACCAACACAGCTGTCCACCTGAATCTATCTGTTGAGATGTGTTCTCTCATTGGAAACAAAACCTAGATGGGGGGGGACAGTTTTCGTGAGAGAATGAGGTTCTTTTGCTGTTCGCATGGTAGGGTTCTCAGGCATAAATTAGTCGCTCGGTGGAATAATTTTTCTTCGGCAAAAAAGATATCTCTGAAAGAATATGCTTTGTGCGCCTGGGCTTTGGCCACGCTGTGACTCAAGAGTGCTGGACTGGATGGGCCTTTGGCCTGATCCAACATGGCTTCTCTTACGTTCTTATGTTTGTAAGATTTGAACCTGGGTCTCCCGGATCCTAGCCTAGTAGCGTCATAAAGACTATAAAGTATCTGAAGTGAGCAGTGGCTCTCGAAAGCTCACACCCTGCCACAAATTCTGTTCGTCTTTAAGGTGCTCCGGGACTCTTGCTCTTGTCTACTGCTACAGCCAGACTAACATGGCTACCCATCTTGGTCTAGATCCTAGTTGGACACTCTAAACATTGCACTGCTCTGGCTCTCCATCAGGGGTCGTTTCGTAGAAAAAGAGCTAGGGGAACTCATTAGCATAACTCATTAGCATATGCCACACACCCTGACATCACCGGACGTGTGTCATAAGGCCACACACCCCGCCCCCAACGGTCCCGGCCACCGCCGGCCTTGCAGCTCCACTGCCGAGCCCCATGAGGGGCCCGGCGGTGA